TCAGCAGGATCTATTAAATGGTTATTCCAGCAGTACAGAAAGCTATGTATCTTCCTGCCTGATGCTGCAGATACCCTTGATTTCCATTCTCATTTATGCCTGGAAGGTTAGCAGCCTTTGTATGTGCCAGTTATATTGCAGAAGAAAACAATTTTTTTCATTACTTCTGCTCTCTTTCCAGTCTCCCTTATGTCTTCTGTTCGTCTGTAGTTTTCATAGTCCCAGTGAAGCAAATCCTTTCCCTTAGGAAGCCTCAGAAAAATAAAGCAAATGATTGGAATAGAAGAAGGAGACTCTATATTTATCTCAAAGAATCCTTCTAGCCCCTAAAAATAGATCCTTACAAAGCCCTAGCGTATGTATATGGGTATTTTTAACTGGGTCTTGTCCATTTCAGGATAAAATTCTTCCTTGTTGTTTGAAAGCATGCCAGCACTGTTTAAAAAAAGGAAGAAAACTAGTCAACTCTCCAGATAATATGTTTATGGAAAGTATTAGTCTAATAAGATAGAATAACTTCACAAGCCAGTGACCCAACTTGCAATGTTTGCAGCTCTTCAAACAAACCATTAGATTTTGTTGCAGCCACTCATGTCTGAAATCACATTCTGAGGTAGCTTAGAGAATTTTTTGCTTTAGCAGGCTATTTAGCAAACTTGAAGCATAAAAGTTTTGATTCCAGAAGCTCTGCCAGAGGCCTGCAGTGGCTTTTTTTGCATATTTATGGTGGGCACTTAAGTTTATAATAAAATTCTAATCTTAACCACAACAATGATGAGATCTCATTTCCAGCACTAAGTGTAGACTCTTTTATTAAATCAAAACTTTTGCTTTAATTTTCCTTGGAATTTTTGCCAATAATGTTAATTTGTACTTGATGTTGTCTTTTTTGTTGTTGTTTTCTCCCTCCACTGTAATTTAGGATGGTACCTTGTTTGATGGTAGGCCGATAGAGTCTCTCTCACTGATAGATGCAGTAATGCCTGATGTGGTACAGACAAGACAACAGGCCTACAGAGATAAACTTGCACAACAGCAGGCAGCAGCTGCTGCAGCTGCAGCCGCAACTAACCAACAGGGATCAGCGAAAAATGGAGAAAATACTGCAAATGGAGAAGAGAACGGTGCACATACTATAGCAAGTAAGTTGAGACAGAAATGACCTTAGCCTATGTTATGTCATTGCAGTGTCATTTATCATATTGCTGGTTAATGGGCTGTAGTATGAGCTAGCAGACAATGAGATCCATGTGTAGCAGTACTAGTAACCCTTCAGCTTGCAGAGGATACCGTCAGCATAGGAGATACCTTAATAGATGGTGTCTCGCCTTTGACTGTCCCAGGTTTGATACTTGGAATTGCAGGAAGAGATGCGAACTCCTGAGTTTATTAATTCCCAGTACTCCATGGACCAGAGTCCCAGTACTGCTCCTTTCCTGCCATCTGAAGGTTTTTCACAGGACCCTCTGAGATTTCCTGCCTGAAGAGAAAAAATCAGAGACAACTCTTTAAATATTGCACCTGCTCAGCTTTGGCCCCTGTACAAGGATCAAGGAGAGGAGTCTGCTAGTCCGTAGCTGGTTAAATCTGAGCATTGCTCATGATGCTCCGCAGACTACTTTTGATGAGTCCTGCTAACCCCGTGAATCAGAGAGCTGTAACCAGTTCTGTGGGACAGACTTTTCTGTTATGCTGGGAAGATCGTGGTTGCCAAATTAAATCCTGTGTCATTTATCTCCTTTTTCCATATCAGTTTTCATTTGCTATTCAGAATTATTTGATGCAACTTCTTACAGGTTTGCTTTATTCATTGGTTCCGTTTTTGTTGTGGTTGGTGAAACAGGTGGCTTTTATTTGTCATTCACTGGTCAAAGAAACGTAATGGACTATCAGGCTTAGTATAGAAAAGTTCAGGCCAGACATCAAAATGTGATTTTGAAAATACTGTTCTGGAAGTCTGAATTACATGTTTGAGAGCAGGAGTTACAGTTCCTGCAAGAAAAAACACTTTTGAGAGAATATTCATATCAAGCCCTGCACACATTTTGCACTTTACAGCTGGATTTTACTGATTTTTTTTTGGTTATTATATGATAAATAACCTTGGAAATATAATCTCTGTCTTAAGCAAATAAGCTCTCTACTTTAAAAATCTCAAAAGAATATTTAGTTGTTAACTATGAACTGGATAGAGTAAGTGTAAACTTCCTATCTCAGCCACTGTTAAATGTGATATACCAGCAACCCCTACTGGCTGGTACACCAAATGATACTGGCATTGATTCTCTTTAATTGAAGCAATGTTTTATATGGTGCTCTTTCTTAAAAATATGCATGTTTTAATAGACTTTTCTGACACACACAAACAGTGACAGAAACCCTTAATGTTAAATTAAGCAATCGATGTGAAACGGTTTGTTTAACCACAGTGACTAAATACAGAACAGGTGAACTGTTCAGCATTTTTTATATTTTGCATTTACACTCAGTGTAAATTTATTTTTAATAATGGAAAATGATTGATGGTAGCTGGCAAGAAAACTGTTTTGTCAGTTGAATTACCCCCCAGTATGTTTTACAGAACAATATGGATTCAACATCACTTCCACGCAAAAAGCTATGTATTGCGACAATTCCACGGTAATTGCTGATGCAATTTAAAAAGCTCCATTATCAGTTTACTGTATCACCAAATGTTATTATATTAATTAAAAACATTTTGTAAGTGAAGTGTCTGAGATGTAGATTTAAACCTGTTTGACTGCAGTTGGTGAAAAGAGAGCTTTTTGAAAACGAATGTGTCATAGAGGTATTTTTAAAGCACAAGATAGACTAGCAGCATATTGTACTGTGCATTATCGTGCCTGAAAAACTGTGACTACTTTTAACATCAGCATTTATTTTTTAACATAGCAAAAAATTAACTTTTGGCCTCAATTTTGAAGTTTCAAAATTCAGTCCATTTGGATGCTGAGGTTTAGAAGGGCTAAGAGCTTTCTCACATTTTTGAAGCTCCCCATCTGTTTATAGTACTGCATAAATTGGAACTGGAGACATAAAGGAACACTATGCCTTTGTCAAATCTTGATCCATGTAAATTATGAATTAATTGTTATGCTCATTCCAGACGAATATTAACCATACAGTAGTTACAACATACTGTCCCAAAATATTAAAATCCACCTCTCTCTACTGTTGTTTCCCATAATGCAGATAATCACACAGATATGATGGAAGTAGATGGAGATGTTGAAATCCCTCCCAACAAGGCAGTGGTGCTGCGTGGCCATGAATCTGAAGTATTCATCTGTGCCTGGAATCCCATTAGTGACCTTTTGGCCTCAGGGTATGCGTGTTAACTGTGTACATACGTAATATTAACGCTCGGAGGCATCCTTCTGTGTGTTGATGGTAGCAAGTTAAAATAATACCTGCCTCAACGCTCTCTACATCAAATGTCACAATGTTTGTTCTTTCAAAAGGAATACTTTTTTAAAATGGAATTAATTGGGAGAAGGAGTTATGTTCTCATTTACTATTTTGTAGATCTGGAGATTCGACAGCACGGATATGGAACCTCAGTGAAAACAGCACGAGCGGCTCTACGCAGCTGGTACTTCGACACTGTATACGAGAAGGAGGGCAGGATGTACCCAGCAACAAAGATGTGACATCACTGGATTGGAACGTAAGTGGAAATGGCTGTGCTGAAAATACTCCAAGAAAATTGTACCTATGATTTTGCATAGTCAAATTTTAAGTGACAGCAACTGCGCATCCTCTGCTATGGCTCCTGAAATTCATATTTCTATTTTTGAGTTGCATTGTAATTTTTTGTATTGTACTTCAGGGACTTCTTTTTAAAAAAGTTTTAGTCAATGGAATAAATACCATAAATCTTGTGCAGATGTATTCTACCTGAAATTTGCTTTGTGCTCTTTAGCTTTGACTTATACAGTAAAGATAAGTAAATAAAATAACCTTTTTGCTGGCAGAGTGAAGGTACACTTCTAGCAACTGGGTCTTACGATGGCTTTGCAAGGATATGGACTAAAGATGGTAAGCGAAATACTTTTACTTTCTAGTACATTTTCCTGTATTGTGGCTCACAGCATAGTTTTTTTTTATTTTTTTAATGTATTCATATCAATATAAATTTTCAGGTAATCTTGCCAGCACCTTAGGGCAACATAAAGGTCCTATATTTGCGTTAAAATGGAACAAGAAAGGAAACTTCATTTTAAGTGCAGGAGTGGACAAGGTGAGATAATCTTTGGTAAAATTAAAATTCTTTCCTTCACCGTTATAATCTAATTGTAAGCATAATAGCAAAGCTATAGAAAGTAAGTCAATTAAACTAAAGGCATGGGACGTAAATATGTACTTACAAAGAACTTGTTACCTTAGCTATGTTTCCTTGTGTTTTATAGTAGTTTATTGAGATATTTTAACTTATTAGATATCAGTGTCCCCGGATCTCTTCCCAATTAGGTTAGCATAAACTGGAAAGTAAGTGCCTTGAACGCAGGACCATTAAACCTTTGTAAAACCAAATAATCTACAATTTAGTGAAGCACTTTATGCAAAGCTTCAGAAAAAAAATTGTACAGGAGGAATAGGTTCAGGCTGATTTGGATATCAGTCAAACCTAAGAATGATTAAAAAGGTTAGAGCTGGAACATAAGAAAAGTCAATATATCTGACTGGGGAGGTGCCAGTAGTGTAATACCATGAAGCTCATTGTTTGACTGTGTTTTATTTCACTTCTCTAAACAAACTAAAGGACTCACAAGATCTTTAAATTCATAGCTGTTGTTAGTGTGAGCGATTTTATGAACGGTAGGAAGGGCACACAGTGAAGAGTAGGCTGGAGACGAATTCAAAGAATAGAATAGACTGTTCAAAGAGTAAGAAGAGTTTAGTTTTTCCTCTGTAACTGATTGAAGGTGCAGAAGTAAACACAGGCTTTCTCTTAGTGAGACTGTACAGGCTCAGTAAGGCCACAGGCCCGCAATGCATAAAACTGGCAGCATCACTGAAAAGTAGTAGATTTTCTCCTTTATTTATCATATTTTTCCTGCACACATTTAACCTGCTTTGCTTTAGTGCCCAGCTTTATAAAGGCTTGTGCTGGCACAAAAGAACGAGAAGTAAATGTCTCAAAGCATGGAAAGGATGGGTTTCTTCTTTTGGCAGCTGGCAACTGTGCCAGTTTTTAAATCTCTGTGGAGGTACAGCTGTAATTTGCAGAAAAATATTCTGGAAGAGAGAGAAGCCTCATTTCAGTCAATAGAACTCCTTGGACAAAGCAACTGAGATTATGCTTTGAAAAATACTCTGTGTTAGCAGAAAGATTGACCCAACCTTATGCTGCTTTTCCAAAAATAATTTGTGGTCAGTTTGTGCTTCCACTGAATTCAGTGTTAAAATTTTCATTGATTGTTGAGGTATGTCGGGAACATTGGCATATAATACACTGATTATAAAATACTAATTTTGTCATGTGAGATTTCTCTCATCAGAAAGATATCAGAAGTATTGGCAGAGAACAACTTGGAACAAAATTACACCCTAAAATCAAATCTTTCAGATTCTTAAGTATGAGACTAATTGTTTATATAGAGATGTCCTTAGGGACAAATGGATATTTGAATTGACAATCGGAATATACAAGTATTTGAATTAAAATAGGTGCGTGGAGTGGATTAGAACAATACAAATAGGGCTAAAGAGATAAATCTACTTATTTTTTGTTTATTTTTTTTTTTAAAAAAAAAAGCCCACAACCCCCTTCTTCCCTCCAGACCTCAGATTAAACATCTTTCAAATATTACAACATAGTAGGTTTTTCTACTGTTGTCTGTACATCTACTACCATTTCTTTTTTAGTACAGGTAAAACACTAGAAATACATAATCGGGAGCAGGTTTGGGCAGTGGGGAGTAGGCTAGGTAGTCCGATACTTGGGAATGGTGGTGGTTGTGGAGATATTAGCAATTTGTACAAGTTTGTTTATTGTTTATTTATCTGTTTAATACAGACCACAATTATTTGGGATGCCCACACTGGCGAAGCGAAGCAGCAGTTTCCTTTTCATTCTGGTAAGTCTAGATTTTTTTGGTCATTCAGGAATGTCATCTGAAGAGACAAAAAAAAAGTTTTATTTATTTAAAAAAAATAAATCTGAAGTTTGTGGAGCTTATTTCCACCATTTTAAAGTCTTACAGGCAGTTGTTGGGTATTGACTCCCATATTCGTAGTCTTATGAATTTTGAGAACGTAAACAGAGATAGAATCGTTTGGATTTTATAACTTTATAACTCACAATTTTATTGCAGTTCTTTGAAAGTTGTAAGATATAACCCAAATATTACTGACTTTCTGTAGTACAGTGGCAGACAAATCAAGTGGGTGGGCCATGAAGGATTTGTGTTTATCAGCTAAGGACTGCATTTGTCATCTTCCTGCTACAGTAATCCCAGCTCCGCATCCCATTGTTCCGCGCTGCCTGCTGTGCTATCCCCAATTTGTTTGGCCACAAACCAGCTGAAAGGCTGTTCGTCGGCCAGCTGGGATGAGAGTGCAGCCTCTCAGGAGGTCAGACAAATTGCTTTGTGGGCTGCATGCTGCGCAAGCCTGCCAGAATCAGCTGGAAAATAGAATAGAGAGGATGACGAACATGCCATTGAAGGGCCTTTAAGAAATGGCTCTCATTTCCACTTTTTATTCCACTTGTGCTACGTTTTCAGTGGCATGACAACAATCAAAACCATCAATTCTTTATTTACTCCAACTAATTCTGTGTGCTGTCTGCCATAAATATCTTGGCTTGACCAAATGGAATAAGTTGCCCATGATTAAGCTTCAAGTTACCACACCTTATTAAAGGAAGGAAATAAATCATTACCTTTCACTGGCTGCCATCTATGAGCACAAGCACGGACTGTTATTGGAGATGCGCCCATGTATGACGATGTGTTAAGTTGTGGGAACCTGTTCCTCGTGCCGACTCTTGACACTTATTTTTCAATGACTTAACTACAGCTTGTTGTCCTGCTGCACTGTCTTCTGTATAACTGTTTCATTTCAGATATGTTCCATGTTTTAATGACTTCTATTAAATTTTATTTCATGTCTTTGTGTAAGACTGGTTTTGGCTGCATTTCTCACTGTTCATAGTGTTCGATTATCTTTAGAACTGCTGTAAGATTAATGGTTGCTTCCTGTTGGCATTTGTTCTAAGGTGGTGCATGCTAAATTTGCAGATCAAACTCCTGCAGAATACATACCATAGTTTTAACTGTCTTTTTCTTTTAGCACCAGCATTAGATGTTGATTGGCAGAGTAACAACACGTTTGCCTCTTGCAGTACAGACATGTGTATTCACGTCTGTAAACTAGGACAAGATAGGCCCATCAAAACCTTCCAGGGTCACACAGTAAGTACTGGAAAATTGGGGGTTGCTATACGATATTTTTATTAATGAGAGCTTGGGGGCCCAGTGTACTTGCCAGTATACAGCATTGTGTCATGGTTGGTCTTTGGCAACAGGCAACAGATATGTATAGGCAGGTAGTTGTAGTTAAGGTCATATAGTAACCATAGTTTCTGTCATTATGAGAACAATTCTCACTCCTGTGTGCAGCATTTTTTACCAGTGCCAGGATGGCATAGCAAAAGTGAGCTTTCGAAGAAGAAACATGGTAACTTTAAGACTTTGCTATGCAGAGCTTATGTTGTGTAAGAGCATGCGTGGGGAAACGTGATGAACAAGTAGCAAAAAGTTGTTACTGAAGGCAAAGCTAGTAGTGAAAATTAAATGTTAAAATACTGACGATTGTACAAATGCTCAAACTGCTGTCCAACTTTATCTTTTGTAAGCTGTCATTTGTAATGAAAGTGAAGACTCCAACTTACTCTCACTGTTCAATTTTAGAATGAAGTAAACGCAATCAAATGGGATCCAACTGGTAATCTTCTGGCATCCTGCTCTGATGATATGACTCTAAAGGTAATGGGAGTTCTGGTGATGGCCGTTGTCTTTGTAGGATTCTGGAACGTGCACCATTAGTTCGGGCAATCCAGCAGTATCACTGCACTGGCCATGTCATCTAATATTTGTTCCTTTTTAATGTAACAAGATTGGGCAATCCTAGCAAATCCTTGTTAATCAAAGCCAAGCTTTGGTCCAGGGAACTTGTTACAGGCTGCCACCCTGAGACTTGGAGCATGATTTATTAGGTGTTTTTAGCTGTTTACAGAATCAGGTCATTAATCATTAAGCTGTCACGCTTGATGGTTGCTTTTGGTTAAAAGGAAGAGTTGGAATGCTTGTCGCGTAACACATACAAGAATGGGTGACTAGCTCCTTTCCTGGTTTTCTTCTGTTTTCCCCTTATTTCTACTTAAAATCTTTGCCATGTTGTTTCATAAGAGACTCTGTGTATTCCTTAGTTTTTCCAATTCATCAGCAATCATTCTACAGTTTTCAATTGCGCCTACACTTTTCCTCCAAATAATTCATAGCAACTTACTTTCTTGTACAACTGGGGCAAACTTGTGAATGCAGAGGATACCGTAACTTACACATAGGTCTTCTAGGTGCCCTAGAGATCCACACAAAAATACCACCAGGTTAGATGCAGCAGGGGAAGTGAAGTTGTTCGTGGCTGACAGGCCTGTCCTGTTTCCACGTTACAGATGCTTTTCCGTTACTCCCATAGTGCGTTGTATTTAGTGGATGTTTTAGCACTGTGTTTGGTAGAGTTTCAGGATATGGGTTTTTATGTTGACAGCGCTGTCCTACTAGTAGCCCATGGGCCAGTTATTTCTGTCTAGTTCACTGTCGTTTAATCAGAGACAGGGAATGGCTGGATGAGTAGCCAGATATCCCCTCCTGTGCTGGCACAGAGTCAGGCACTTGCAATGGAAATCACCTTATCTAAATATAAACATGTAAGCATTAAGCCTGCAGTTGAAAGCTAGGTGTCTAGACATCTTTAGTCAACAGTGCCTAGCATGACTGAAGAGCAATTCATCCTTTGCTAAGTTAAGTGTCTAAGTCAAGTGTGAGGAGTAAATCCCTGAGAGCATCAGTCATTCTCCATTGGCAATGGATGGAGTCAAAATAGTCAGCTTGAGCTAGATATTTAATACTTAACAGCTGAAACTCAGGTGAGATGGATTCCAGTCTAGAGCTCAAGCTGATGCTGCTGCCTCTCAGTGAGGAGAGAGGTGACAACTGGGAACATGTCACCATTTGTGGGCTCAGGCAGTTCAGGCAATTAACTTCTTGGTTGCTGTTTTGAATTCAGCCCACCAGCCTGGAAAGAATTTGTCATTTTGTTCAGGGTTAACTGGAAGACCAATTGCTTGTAGATAAGTCCATGCATCACTGATCACTTGTGCATCACTTACTTTTCAATGGCAGTAGGAATGAATGTCAGCTTTTAAAGCATATGGAAGATGCCTAGTGGGTATTTTTGTTTGTTTGGGGGTTTTTTTAATTTATTTTTCTCTCTTGTGATGCCAGTTGATTTTCTCTGGTGCAGCTGATATGGACTCTTTTCATCTATACTGGTTTTGGGAAGAGAAGCTAGATTTTGAGCCCATCAATTTGAACTGGAAATACAATTTTAATTCTGTCTGCACATTGAAAATCAATTTTCTGTTCAGTGAGGCACTACTTCTGAAAAGCATCATTCATTTAAACATACACCCCAATTGCTTCTTAAATGCAGTTGGGCTTAAACATGTTCCTGGTAGCTTTTTCTAACAAAAAGTCAGCTGAAAGCACTACTGAACCAAATGTAATTTAAAAAAAACAAAAAAAAAATTCAGATGATTAGCTACCATATTAAGTTTCAGATTTAGGAAAAAGTATAAAACCCTTCCAAATCTGTAGTGGCAATGCAAACTCTTAATAGAATAAAGTTATTTTGTTTGTTGAAGGTCATCATGCAGGAGTTGGAGTCCTAAGGAACTGTGTGCACTACTGAACAAATACCTGGCAATGCAAATCCTAATAAGCCACAGAAATGCCATAATGGTTTTTGCAGTATGCATCTATGGCTTTGTATGAAAACAGAAATTTTCTCTACTATCCCTTTACTTCACTCAGACTGTGTAGCAAGACATTCATTTAAAAATAGGACTGTGATACTTTGTCAACTCGGACACGAACATATACATAATTGCTCTTCTCCGTTTAGCATCTGTTCTCATCCCTGCACTTTTCAAGGGTCTTGCAGTTAGATGTGCGGACTGGTTTCTATGGACAGCGCCTTTGTTGCTCATTAACACCATCGGGTACTTCTAACTGAAAGAATGGAAGGTGCTGGAATACTACTTGTCATAGTTACTCTAGAAACTCAGCAGTCACAGCAAATGTTTTGAGCGGCCTAAAAGGTAGCAGTCCGCCTGCAAACAATAAAGATGTAACATGTATTTGAGTACAACATTGTGCTAAATGTCTTTGTGTTTTCTTCCGTTTTTATCGTAGATCTGGAGTATGAAACAAGACAGTTGTGTCCATGACTTACAAGCACACAACAAAGAAATTTATACTATCAAATGGAGTCCTACAGGACCAGGAACAAATAATCCAAATGCCAATCTTATGTTAGCAAGGTACTACTTAATCCTGGTTTTAAGTGCCTGTTAAGCATTATTTTTACTTCATTGTATATATATGTAGGTTCACAGAATGTCTTGAAGCATGTAGGATACTGTATCGTATTGTGTTGGTATTAGAAACAAAAATATGTAAAATTGAGATGTAATTAATCTGTTTTTTCCCTTCACAGTGCATCCTTTGATTCTACTGTTAGGTTATGGGATGTAGACAGAGGAATTTGTATTCATACTCTGACAAAACATCAAGAACCTGTGTACAGTGTAGCTTTCAGTCCTGATGGCAGGTACCTGGCCAGCGGCTCCTTTGATAAATGTGTACACATCTGGAATACGCAGGTATAGCTCTTCTGGCTGTTGAGAAGTTTGTGTTTTGGTCTGTTCCATCAGCACCCTTCCAACCTTTGTGCTCCATTGTGTTTTGGCCACAAAGATCTTTGCCATTCCTCACATGCTGACTTGCTTTTCTCTTTGTTCTAAGATTATTTCTGTTAATGAATGTGCATTTAATTTCTCTCTTTGAGCGCTTGCTTATGGTGAAGTAATAATTGTCTTTACATTGCCTTTACATAGTAAAAAAAGCCCAAAACCCCCCAAACAAATGAAAAAAAACCAACTGAAAAACCACTACCACCAAAACACATTCAACAAAGTGTCTCCAATCACGTGTTGCATCCAAAAATTGTCTTTTAACTCTGAACTTTAAACTCCTGATAAAACAGGTTTGCTGTTGAAAAATGCTGACTGGATGTAGACATACAAATCTGATACCTATTTCATTGAATTTCACTGAAAACCAAGAGAATGTAAAGAGAGAAAATACAATGATGACAAAATGTTTCTGTGTAGCTTTCTGAGAGGACACTATTACTTGTTTTGTTTTTTCTGGCAAAAAAGGGCTGCGAGTGAAAGTCTAAGGACCTTGTTGTTAGGCAAGATGTGATCTCTGGCTACTGGGAATTGGATATTCATTTTTGAAAGGCTCATTTTAGTAATTGGAAGTAGTTGTGACCATTCCCAGTTTTGCCTGTTCAAACACAAGAGATCAAGATGCGATAATTGTCTGTCATGTCCTTTAACACAGTGCTGAGGTCGTCTGCGAGTCTCATCTGGACCATTTCCTGAGAATTTCAACTTTTAAAAGCAGTCGGGAAGTTTTACATGTTGTACAAATTTTACTTGATTGCTTGGATTTTGCCATACTAATTACATGTTTTATCCCTTTTTTAGACAGGTGCCCTAGTTCACAGTTATCGGGGAACAGGAGGGATTTTTGAGGTTTGCTGGAATGCAGCAGGAGACAAAGTTGGAGCAAGTGCTTCAGATGGTTCAGTAAGTGCAGCTGGACTTGTTTGACACTAACAGCAAGCATGTCTCAGAAATCTTTTGACTAGCAATGGAGACAAAACTTCCTCCTGTACTGAATTTTAATACAGCCAGCTCACATGTAGATTTTCACATATAAGGGTGCTGTAATGTTGAAAGGATTTATGCAAATGTCTTTATTCCAGCTCAATGTGTTACTGTTCTAAACCCTCCAAAAAGCTCCGAAAGTGAAGATGCCTCTAATTTAAATTTTCTGTCCCTACTGGGGCTGACCATGGAACTGTGATCATCGTGGCTGGGCTTTCCATTATAGTCTGGAAACAAATTCATTTTTGCCTCTTTGCCCTTTTTGAGGGCAAATGTTCAGTGTAGGTGACGTTATTGTGCTGCACGACAGGAATGAAATATCTTCTGCATTGCATTTCACAGAAAGAGCAGCAAAACAAAGTTCTGGATTTTAAGTAGACTAAATTCTGGAGAATTAATTTTGATTTGCCTTTCATATCATTTTAGCCTAATAAGTATAGACAGTATCATAAAAGGAACAAAAGCTCAGAGGCATGTCCTGCGTAGAAATTATTCATCGTTCCACTTTAGATGACCCTTGTATACACATGCTGTGTAACCTTTCTAGTCTTTTCCAGTTAATTTGACCCAAGAGGCTGATTGTACTTGCAACAGATTGCTTTTCATTTAGTTTTTGCTCTGTTTAAAAATGTTGGATTTATTTTGTTTTATATTGTTTGCTAGCGAAAGCCTTCCTCATCCCCTCTGTTTTAAATGTGCTTATGGCTCATAATAACTAAGCAAATAGAGGCACATTTGAACTGTTTGATGACTAAAAGCATAGCTTTTATATGATTATATTTTACTAGTAGATTTCTGTATCTGACAGAACTAGAACACTGACTAGTCAATGTTCTGATAGTAATTCCTGAGGCAGCAGTACCCTTAGCAGGTCTGGCTGGGTGCTCATAACCAAAGTGCTCACCTGGTGATGTTTCCCCCCCACAATCTATTGTTAAAAGCCACCAGATGAAACTCGCACAATCTGTTTTGTAGGTTTTCCTTGGATATTTCACACAGAATTGTATAATTGTGGAATATTGTGCAATGTACATTTTCTGTACGTGTATTTCGTTTTCTTACAGGTTTGTGTATTAGACCTACGGAAATAGCGCTACTAGTTGGAAGCCATGGACCGACTATGAATGTGTACATAGCCAAAATGACTGTCCCTGACCCATGTACTGCTATAGTCCCAATTGAACCATGGCCAGTCCACTACAGCCAAACGTAAAAGAAATATATACATATACTGTATATAAAAAAAAAAGAGAAGAAAAGAAAAAAAAATTACACCCTGAAGAGGATGACAGAGTTTTGTCACAGCTTGTGAATCCTGTTCACCAAGTGCTGGAATCTGCTGTGCCCCAAAATAATGTTTAAAGGTTTTGGATATGGAAAACAGAAGAGAGAGTGAGCGAGAGAGAGAAACATACCGTATACAAGAGCAGACCCATATACTTACCAAATTCAGAAGATACTAATGGCAGCCTTCATTACCCCTTCCCCCTTTAAATCCATTATGACCATGGATTGTGGGGTATTTTTGTTTTCCTTCTCAGTAGTTGAGCAGTTTGTGTGTACAGAGAAAATGGACTTCCAGAAATCTGCAGCAGTAGTTTTTTCTTTGCTTTTAAACATTGGGTTTTCTGTTTTGTTTTGGTTAAGTTTACGGATGCATGAAGTAAGGGAGTGAATTAGTTTCTTGTTTATATTTTTTTTCACCTCAGAAAAAAATGTTTCTTTGAAACATATTTTAATGCATTCTTTGAAGAGGTAGATTGAACCTGATAATGTTTGGTACATTTTATGGCTCCCAGAGCACAATTTTGTGAACAGAGGGAGGGTGGAAAAGGGATTATGGAGAGAGAAGAAAGAAAAAAAAATATAATCCTTCTTTGAGGCGTGATATTTCATGTCCTGCTCACCTACGAAGTATGACAGTAATGGGTATAATGCTATGTTTTATTTTCTGGTGACATGGCTGAAATGCAGTAGTTTCTTATTTGGGACATAATTCTGCCAAACTTAAGAATAGAAGGGCACAAAAATACAGAAAAGAAAAATACAGGGATGCAAAAAAAAGAAAAAGAAAAAAAAGGACAAAAAAAAGAGGAAAAAATGCATCGTCTGTTGCTTTAAGACCATAGCTAACATATGGTTAAATTGTGCACTATTGTGAAAAGGAGCAAAGTATAGCTGGGGGATTGTTTTTAAGAGGTTAAGATCTTTCTGGACAAGGGTTCATGCCACAGCTTCTCTGAGAGTTGCCCATCATTATTTGTAGGAGCTTAGATGTATAATTGTAACCAAACTCCAGTATTAAAAGTATTTCATGTAATTTTTCTTTATTAAAATAAAATCTTTGGCATATATTTGATAACACTGCCATTAAGAGGCAAAATGTTTACTACCTTAGATTTAAAAAAAAAAAAAACCAAACCTTAAACAGAGGACTTGCTTCAAGTTTATTTTAATAGCAGTGATTCAGCTTATTTAAAAGATGAATACTTGCACTAATTCCCCTGCTGCTCCAGTCCTGCAGTTTATTGTATCTTGTGACTACATTTTTTTCCAAATATACGGTAGATGTAAGCTGCTATTTTTTTAATAATCACTACTATATAGTGTCTTTTACTCTGTTTACAATATCAAGTATTTTTCTTACAACGACAGATGTATACGGCAAACCTTTTTCTGCTCATGTGATTAAAAGTATACTGATAGTGATTTTATTTGTAAATGAAAGCATGAGGTTGTGTTTACGCGTATGTGTAGTCAAAGAGGTTGCATCATGTCTTGCATAAGATTCCAAGAGTGTAAATTTATAATAAGAGAGGTTGTCAAATTTATGTCACAGGCATTTTACTTAAGGAATGGTTTATATTACAGAGCTTTGCAAAGTTATCCGTTTTATAACACTATTGCAATCACAAATAATTTTGTGGCTTATGATTGCTAGTCTCTAACTTTTTTTTTTGTTTGTTTGTTTGTTTTGGGTTTTTTTTGTCCCCCTAAGTTAGGCATAAGTTGATTATAATTGAGATAATGCAGCTTTGACATTTTAACCATTGTTCTTTAGGCATTGATTTCTGCTATTTCCATGGAATAAACATGACTTGAAGCAAGTCTGAGTTTGGCTAAGGTAGGGTAGCAATTTGCCAGTGGTAAAGAGAAGTCAACAATACATTCTTTATATATACCCCAGGATTATAATACTATCATACACAGCATTTAAAACCAACAAAAAGTCATATCCATAAAGACAGTCATCCGCGGTGGTTCGGTGCCAGCTATTTTTAGGGTTTTGGAACATATTACAAATGTTTAGAGCAATTACCCTGTGAGTTACAATATGTAGGAAACCTAATATATTCAGTGTCTGGCACTTGAAATATTGCTTTTATTGCTGGAGGTCCATGACTGTGGCTGACCTCTGTCATTTAATGAAAAAAAAAATAAAAATAAAAAAAAATTCTGTGCAATAATTTTAAACTGTGCTCCCAGGAATAGACACAAATGTTTTGAGTATGTTTAAGCTGCATTTTTCGTTTAGCAATGCATTTGTCAATTGCACTGAATTTAAATCTGAAAGTCAGAAGTGATTCTTGATAGTACTTTTGTATTTTAATATGGACAGTTTATTCATTTTCATAAAAGTTATTGGATGATTCTTTCAGCCAATCTAAACAATTGTGGTGGAATTCTGTGACATAGCTGCGAAATCACACAGCCATGTTTTAGGGTATTGCCATTTTCCTCTTTCTCAATCATCAGCTGTTTTGGTTGTAATCCTAGTTGCTTAAGCATAGTATCACATACTCAGAAAAAACAGAGCTTCAGTATCACAGGTCCAGGGTTTTCAGGTGCTTGAAGCACAGTCCTGCAGGAACGTCGGATCCCTGGACGCGCAGGCTGAGACCCACCACCTGGCGTTAACCAGCGGTGCCCACTGGAGTGGAACGGGGCCGGTTTCCGCTAGCCAAGGATCCGGCCAATAGATATTTTATTGTTGTCCTTACTAGCATGCCACAGTGCTGCTCCTGCTCACACCTCTTCTCGCCTCGTTTTATACACTGTTAAATGCATGCATGCAAGGTGTGCTAGGTTCTGTGATTATGTGAAGCAAAAAGAAAAAGAGAACCATGACATGAATTATTATCTTTTATAGCACAAAGACCTCGTATTCAATAGTGAGGTAGATTATCCAAATTGTTCCTTGAAATTGAGTATGCCAAATGTCAGTAAGACCTTAACTTTGTACAAATGTATGCACATGCTTAGTCTTACGTACTGAGTAATTCCAGTGCGCCCGTTTTCCAAGTGTAAAGGTAAACGTGTGCGTAAGCCTTTGCATACATTACAGTTCCTATTTTTTCCAGTTCAACAAGTTAATGGGCAAATATCCAAACAGAGGATAAAAGGAAGGGGAAAAACTGGGCTCAGAATTAATGATGGGATAAGAAATGAACTGCTCTTGAGTTTGCTGTCTTTCTATGCATCTATCTCAGAATCCCGTTTCTCATTTCTGCATAATTAGGTCCAGGTTTCTGTAGAGTTCCTCTTTTTCTATTCTTACTTTACCTTTTTCTGCATTTTTAAATTGATGTAAAGATTCCCAACCAGTGGACTTTTTAGTGTAGTTAAGAGAATATCTAGGTCCTCATAAAAGCTTTTTTAGACTCTTTGTAATGTTGATAAACTCAGTTTATTCTGGGGCTACAATTGTGCAGGGTTATTTAGCGTGTCTACTAGATGATTGGAAATCTTATATGAAACACTAAAAGTGCCTCTTTTTCTGGGTTGGGTGGAGGGAGGTAATAGTTACCAGAGTCAGAATGACATGGCATTTTGAAGCATGTTTCTTGATTTCGTGACACTTTAATGCATCTTGAGAGAAAGGCCAAAGATTTCTACCAATTTTAATTAATTTTCATTTAAAAAAGCACTCCTTTTCCTTACACTGCTTACCTCATGCTAGGGTATTTAATGGGACGTTGTACCTTTGAAATGTTCTTTGTGTTTAGGAAGAATAGTAGGTGGCATAGGGCGGTTGTGCCAGTTTGCCTACGGAGCAATCTTAGCAGCCGATGCGTTTAGTTCTGCTGAATTGAAGGAATTCCATTAAAATTGCAAACTGGGTTTTTCAGCTTGTAAATAAAAGGTTGTATGTTTTTGTCTGTTTAGCGAAGAGGAGCCTTGGGACCCGATTTTTCCAATCTTTACTTAACCAGAAATCCCATTGTCTTTCACTTCATGAGAAAACTTTGCCAGAACAAGCATCGGAGGCGTTGGGTCTGTGTAATACCGTACAGCATGCCGCGTAGGTAAAAACGAGCCGCATCTCACTCGTGCCGAGCCTCCCCTCAGCCTCGGTGGGGGTTTTGCCAGAGCAGGGCCTGCTGGATTTAGCCCAGTGTTCCTTTTTCATTGACAAGAACGATAGCTTCTCCCTTCACAAAGTCCTGTAGAGCCGTTCCCCGGTGGGATCAGTTTCACACTCTCCAGAAGTCCGAAGAAAGCAGAAGCAACATTGTGGCATGTTAGAAGCAAATATGGCTTCGGGAGACAGCAGTAAATCTCCATCAAGATCCCTGACATTTTCCATAGGGAGAGAGCCGTGGAGCAGTCTTCACCTCTCCCTCCAGAGAAAGCTCTGAAATACCACGTTCTGTGAAAGTGTGGCTGTCTTCACTGTCAGTCCTGATGGAAGGCAGACGAACCAGGAAAATCTGCCATTTCTTGCGGATTGCAGATTTAGTGTTAATAGTGCTTCAGATCAGTAGTTTTGAGTACATAATTTGCTTTCTCTGCCTTTAAGTTTGAAGCTTGACAATAACTTGAGGCATGTTTTTGTTTTGTTTTTTCTTTTTTAAATAATCATTCATTTTTACTTCCTAATGTTTTTTGACATTTGTGGGTAAATACAAGAAAACAGTCTGCATGTTGTTGCTAGTCCAGTGTACTTTGCAATCTTGTCCTCAACAGACTGCAGTGTGCAGAACAGTAATTCTAGAATACAGAAGTAATTTTCTCTCTCTCCTGACATTGACATTGTAGTTGTAATGGTTTCATTTGGAGTTACAAATCCTTTGGGTCTAATTCTGTGAGCCTACCTATAGCACTGGATTAAAATGTCTGCATCATTTCTTCAGTTATCCAGTTAAATTACAACTGTTGTAAAAGTGTAAACCAGCCCATGACAGTTTTTTGTACTTGTTTAAAGGACTTTTATTGTTCAGTTTTCATGATTATTGTCTAAAGAAGACTGATATAGATGTTCTATACTGTCCTGGACCATGTTAATTACACTTTATGATGTATTTTGGTTCTACATCACAATGATTTGTCCCCAAGGCCCTTATACCCCTTCTAGGCACATTTTCTGTTGCAGTTTCCCTTTGCATTGTATTGCTTTGACAACTGTAATTTGAATCAGATCTGAAAGAGGTCCAGAATAAAATATATTTTGATATTACTTTGCCTGAATGTTATATACCAGTAATTTGAAATGCTCGGTGCAGCAGATTTACAGGTGATTAAGACCAAAACACTAATTTTAATATTCCTTTTGGCACATTTCCACATAAGACAATGCGTAAGAAGTAGTGGGAGGTAATACATCGTACTGCATACTCTCGATGAACACACTGTAGATCCTCTGAAACAGTGAAGCTATCGTCTGCCACCAATTACCGCTACGTGTTTGATTTAGACGAACCGCTTTCTCAGGTGTGCGTTTTACGTGCTTCATCTCTTCCTTGCCTTGTGGAAGAGCAGCTGAGTCTAGCGACGCTCACAGCTACGCCCCCGCTGTTGAGAAGGCTTTGGAGGCGTGGGAGCGGGTTCCTGTATGGTAGGTAATGCGATCTCATGTCCGAGAGATCCATTCGTACAGAGTGATTCAATTTGATTATGCAAAGGAATGTTATTTGTGTTACTGTATTTCAGGTATTTGAAACCACTTAGATTTACACATGAAATAACATGCATCTATCTGTACATAATGACGTTTTAATTCCTTTAGACTTGTGGTTCTTGTCATAATACAAGTGAGGG